TTTTTATATTTAATATTTTAAATTAATCCCCCCCCCCCCCCCCCCCCCCCACACACACACACGGAGAGGGAGAGATATGGCACGTAAACATTAAAAGTTAAACTGCAGCTAAAGCTAGTAGTCTGAAAGAGATGGTAGTATGCGTGCGAAGCGTGATCAGTTTATCTTCTGTAACTACAATGTACATGTAATAGACCTTAATTTCTATTAATCATTATCAGGCGCTGTCGTGTGTTGGGTTTCAAGACCAGGCACTTAACACTATATATGTAGCAATTTGCGTGTGAATATACGTGTTCTACCAGTTTTTCATTTGTTAAGTGAAACCGATCTGGAGCACTGTCACTCAAGAACCATGCACCTTTTAACGGCGTCTGTCCTGGTTTTCTGCATTGGGATGTCCGTTGCTGGTAAGTTATACATACTTGAAGAAAGTATAGGCCTACTTGTAAGGAAAATGGACGTTAACGTGTACGTATATGGCAGATATCCATGGGAGACTTTCCACAAAGAAAACAAAATGCGTCTCGCCTGTAATGTGTATATTTTATGTAATATTTGCATACTTTGACTTGTTGTTTTGTACTTATTGTTATGTTGTTTTATGCCCTCTAATATTTGAAGCAACCAACAGCGATTTAAAAGCGATCTTAACGGTTATGCGGATATTAAACAAAATGCTTGTGTCACCGAAGCTGCTGAAACATCCATTTTGTGTCATTTTTGCATCGTTGCATAAAGCACACGGGATTTGCTTTTCCAAGGCCTACCAACAATTTTAAGGTGATGTTTAAAAATGGGCTAAATGTTTTTGCTGTTTTTGTGTCTGCTTATAATGATCAAAAAGTTATCCAACATTGGCTTAACCCTCATCCACAAGGAAATGGAACCCTACGTAAACCCTGAAACTGGGCCTCGGAGGCCCGGTGTACCATGAAAATCTGACTCCCCTAAAATGTGACTCCCCAGTCAGATTTTCATAATGAAAATGTGACTCCCCCTATGAAATTTTGACTCCCCCCCCCCAAAAAAAAAAAAGTTTGCAGGTAAAACTTTTCATGAAAAAAAATAAATAAATAAATAAAAGATTTGTATTTTACCACCCAAGGAATCCCCTATGAAAAAGCTATTTATATGATATTTGATTATCATTCTGACATCTTTTCTTTGAGGATACTTTATGAAGAATATATTGGAAGTATTTGAAAGTTTGATGGTAAAAAATTGGGTGAAAAAAAAAACATGAAAAATAAGAAAAATTAAGGATTTGTATTCTAACACCCAATGACTCCCCTATAAAAAAGCTATTTATTTGATATTTGATGATCATTCTGACATCTTTTCTTGTAGGATACTTTATGAAGAATATATTGAAAATAATTGAAAGTTTGAATGGTAAAATACTGGGTGAAAATAATTTACGAAATTCTTCATTTTCATATGCATGGGATTTAGACTCCTATGGACTCCCATTATATTTGCTGTTGTTTTTCTCATTTTTCCCAAAGCTGAATGAAAAATGGGGATTGATGATTTTAAATGGATAATAAATTTGCATTCTTGTATCCATAGGATTTTGACTCCCTATAGTCTTTCAAATATTTCCAATATAATCTTCATAAAGTAAATGTTAAAGAAAGGTGTTGAAATGATCATCAAATATTAAATAGATAGCTTTTTTATAGGGGAGTTATTGGGTGATAAAATGCACATTTTTAATTTTCTTATTTTTCATGAAAAATTTCACCTGCAAACTAAAAAAAAGTGCCAATGTATCCTCCATTTTACATACTACAAGATCACAGCCATATACTCAAATAAAATAAGATTTATGAAGTTTTGTGGAGGGGGAGTCAAATTTTCATGGGGGGAGTCAGATTTTCATGTTACAACGGTCCTTTGCTTGCTTTACCTCCACCTGGGTGAGTATACACTGTGTATGGAACATGCTGAAAAATCATTTTTTTCTCAAAATGGAAAGTTTCGCAAAGGTAGCACAGTCTATCAGGTATGTAATAATGATAGATTTAAACTGATATCTGCATATCAGGTGACCAAGGTGACTGATTACTCATAAATAATAATTCCTCCAGGTCTTGAATCTTTCGCAGGCAGATTTCATTGACCATACTGATAGTCATAGCACACATGATATTGCTTGTGTAAAGCATTTGATAGCAAAGATATTTGAGGTTACATAGACTTATTTATCCCATGTGGAAGTAAAATTATCAAGGAATTTCCAGGAAATGGGACTAACTTTTGGAAAAGTTAATTTCTACATATGGTGTAAATTATTTCAAAACTAATTATTAATCCATTGATGGGGTATAAGTTGCTTGAGGATTACACGAAAGGACCAGGTTCAAAGCCTCATGCGAACGAAGAGAGAGCAAAAGATACATGGGTCCGGGCCTGCGAGACCCCTGAAAGGTGATTGAGGGTTAAATAACACTCTTGAATCTAGACCAGATCCGTCTATTGGTAAGTTTTTAACCTGCACGTACTGCAGGCAGACTGACAACTAAGCCACGCCTCCGTTGACAAGAGCCGTTGCTATGAGGGGCAGAGCAAAGTTAATAGGCCATAATCTGTGTAACAGGTAATAAATCTTACATGGCACAGCAGTAAAGAAGAGAAGAAAAAATCCGTATCAAAAGTTAATTACCTTGAGATAGAAAGAAAGACTTGAAAGAGATTGAATATATGTACAACAGGCGTTTTTTTCTTTTAACAGCGGTGCTTGAAGAGATTGATATGGTCTTGGACATACTTATTAATCTCATCTGTAATCTCATTAAGTCGACTATGGCATGTTTGTGGGTAGTTTGTAAAATGGTCTTAGACAAACTTCATTAAGTTGATTTAGAAATCAAAACTTCGAAAAATCCAACCTGCACTCGTTGGCGGGAACGGCTGCACAGGTAGTGGGGCAGGTGATATAAATGTGTTTTAAAACAAATGTACCGTAATTATTTCCAGGTGAAAGCACGATCCTCCGCTGGCCTTCGCCGCAGACGGTCAAGAGCTACGTGAAGCTCCATGCAGTCACCCCTGCGATGACCGCCATGACAGCGTGCATGAGGGTAAAGTCTGCCTTTATTGGAAATGGCGTTACATATCTCCTGTCTTACGCCACGGCTTCTGCGGTGGACACTTTCCTCCTTGGGTACTCGGGAAATGGAGCCATCGTCCTCAATTTAATCAACTCGGGGATGGATACATCCGTGACGAAAGTCTATGATAGTTTCTGGCACCACTGGTGCTTCTCTTGGAACAATTATGGTGGAAAGTGGACGCTATACATGGATGGCATGCCGGCAGCGTCGGGCAATAGCTACCGGTCAGGCTGGACCGTACCAGAAAGTAAGAAAAATGCTTATCATTTATTAATTAGTTCGTTTTGGGGGTATATAAATCAGTGACATTTTAAGGAAAGGTTGTCCGTATGTATATTTATGCAAATGGTGCTGTAGGTGACTCTCCTCAGATTCCGTACCAATTTGGATCGTGGTCCTTTTTGTCGCTTCACACATGTACTTTAATGTACTGCTAAATGTAGTAGGTACTAGACTTTATGTTGTATTTTCTTGAACCATCCATGAAATGAAATTAAAGAAAAATGCAGGGTATTTGTTATTGGTGCAATTTTTTTAAGATGGAGTCTGGATTGTTGGACAAGATCAAGATACGTCAGGCGGCGGGTTTGTCGCTACACAAGCATATGTTGGTGACATCACGAGCATCAATGTATGGAACACCGACAATGTTGACGTTGCAGCAGTGGCAAACTGTGGCGATAAGTTTGGAGGAAACGTCATTTCATGGCATGTCGTCGCCAAAGAGATTCACGAAGTGTCTACCTACAGAGAAGATCTTTGCAAAATAAGAGATGAAGAATAAAAATAATGTATCGATTTCTCACGATTTTGCTTTTCTTTGATAAAGGTACAATAAAGCATCATTTTTGCCTTCTCTAAACAACGCACTATTCTCCTTTCTTCACGATTTAAAACTTTTTCTGGTAAAAAAAACATTTTACATGTAATTCCAAAGTTATTTCATCATTTTTGGTGCTACTGCAATGAAATTTAAAATTAAACGAGACTCGATCGCCTGACTGTAATTCTGTGAGTGGAAATATGCGGGAGGGCTTAAATCAGATATGCTTTCTCAGCCTTTAATTACGTATTCTTTTCTTCGTTCAAAAGCGTAATATTTAAATAATTTACCTCCAATATTTTGATGTCTAACAGAGCATCTTTATCAGGTAATGAGGCTAGCTATTCAGGTGAAAAGCCTCTATTCAAGAGATAAACTTGCTCCCTCCCCCCACCTGTTGCTGTAGGAAAGGTAGGTAAACGTCAGTGAGGATGGCACCTTCATTTCTGTTGAGACTGGCCCCTGTCTTCTGGATGGCTACCAGGACTTTCCTGTAGCGTTCTCTCGGCTCACTGTCAAGTACTCTCTGGCGATATGTGGGGGAGCGGGGCCAATGTTTTTTTTTTTTTTTTTAATTTTGTAAAAGGAATCTCTAATTCCCCTCCATCCCCCCTAAAAAAAGTGGTGGGTTCGCCTAAAAAATGATAGGTCAAATGCCTCCTGTACTTGTTCCGCAGCTTTAAATGTTGACCCTCTTTTGTGCAAAATTTACATTAATGGGACATTTCACACATTTGTCTAATATACTGTAGTAAATTAAGAACGATTCTTGGAAGATAGGGACTTCAGGCTTGTTTCCCTAACCAGCTTAGATAATTCGGAAATTACCTTAGCAAATAGAAAAAAGACATCACTTGCACTCAAGCAGCATGCAGTTGTTTGTGTGGCAAAATATACGAATCTGAAGCAAAAAGCATTTTTATTTACAAAATGGATTGATTATATAATTATGGGAAAAATGAAAATAAGTGTATAGGCCCCTACAGTGCACACACGCACACACACACACACACACACACACACTTATGATTATTATTATTATTATTATTATAGGCCTACACTGCACATCGAATAAATGACCGTTATATCAAACTTTAATAGATACTGCAGTTTATAAAATCATTTTCACACAGGTTCACCCGTCCACACAACTAGTATTTAATGATTCTTCATTCCAATTGATTTTAAAGCAAGAGAGTTCGCTAGATTGCACTATTACACTACAGACACAATGAAGAACCTTGCACTGCAGATATGTTGTGGACAAAACGTGTGCTGTAACCGTATTAATACATGTGCTTGGCTAATTTGGTTGCTTGGTTGCCCAGCAGGCAATGTGAATAGGGCCTACTTTCATAGGCTAAGAGAGTTTTTGAGTTTGGAAATAAATAGCTCCCTGGCCTCTACATGAAGGTTTTTCAAAATGCAACGATACAGTAATATTGAATATCTTGTTTTACACACACAAATTATGTAAACTGTGTCTTTAATATGCGTCACTTTTGATCCTCAACTTAGTATGGATGGAAAATACTGTAGCTTATTATATGATAACCTTATATGATGGATACATATTAGAACTCGCCAACGGGCGACATTCGAAAAACCTCCAAGATGGATGCTTCAGTGTAGGGCATCCTGATCTTGTCCTCCATCTTGACAACTCGACCTTGACCTATGACCTTGCTGTGTCAACATCTTTCAATATGATAAATTAGGCTCTATCTGACATTGATCTACAGTTTT